TGTTGTTTTGTTGTTGATGTTATTGTTATTATTCTTATTATTATTATCATTATTATTATCAATATTTTAATTTTCATTATCATTATCATTATTATCAATATTATCATTATTATCATTATTATTATTATTATTATTATCATTGTCATTGTTCTTATTATCATTATCATAATTTTTATATTATAACTATATTATAAAAAAAATATCATTATCCTTATAATTATTGTCATTATCTTTATGTCTTTATTCTCATCATTATTTATTATGATCACTTTTATCATTATCATTGTATTATTATTGATATTTTGATTGTCATTATCATTACTATCATTATTAACATTATCATTATTATCATTTTTAGCATTATCATTATGATCATTATTATTACTATTATCATTTTCATCTTTATTATCACCTTTATTTTATTTTGAGTTTTCATGGGGGGGGGGGGGATGGCTGATAGATTCGCCGGGAGGATATTTGGTTGAGGTTGAGGGCTGGAGAGAAAATAATGGGAGAAAGAAAGAGAGAGACAGAAAAATGTAATGAGAGAGAGAAAGAAATAGTGAAGGAAAAATAATGGGAGAAAAAAAGAAAGAAAGAGAGAGAGAGAGAGAGAGAGAGAGAGAGAGAGAGAGAGAGAGAGAGAGAGAGAGAGAGAGAAGAGAAAGAGAGAGAAGAGAGAAGAGAGAGAGAGAGAGAGAGAGAGAGAGAGAGAGAGAGAGAGAGAGAGAGAGAGAGAGAGAGAGAGAGAGAGAGAGAGAGAGAGAGAGAGAGAGAGAGAGAGAGAGAGAGAGAGAGAGAGGAGAAGAGAGAGAGAGAGAGAGAGAGAGAGAGAGAGAGAGAGAGAGAGAGAGAGAGAGAGAGAGAGAGAGAGAGAGAGAGATTGAGAGAGAGAGATAAAGAGACAGAAACATAGATAGCGACATATAAAGAAATATATAGATAGATAAGTAGACAATTGGATAGATATATAGATAAAGAGACAGAAACGTAGATATCGACATATAAAGAAATATATAGATAGATAAATACACAATTGGATAGATAGATAGATAAAGAGTATGAAACAGACAACCAGAGAGCAAAAAAAAAAGAAAAAAATAGAAAAACAGGTATCAACAATCCCCCCCCACACCCAAAAAAAAAAGTTAACAAACAGACGGATTAAAAGTAATACACAATAACAAATTGACAAACAGACACAGAGAGGAAGATAATCCAGCAAGACAGGCTGTGCAAAAAAAAAAAGAAAAGAAAAAAGAAAAAAAAGTTATAGCATAGCGAAGGTGACATGAATGAAACATCACACGTCATAACTCTGTGGTTTGTCATTCGTCCTTGTTCTTTGTCTTTATTATTATCATTTATCTCCCCTTCTCTCGTTTCTCTGTATTCGTTTGTTTCTTCTTCTATTTTTTTTTAACCTTATGCGTTCGTCTTTTTTTTTGGGACGGTTGTATTTTGTTTTTTTATATATTTTTTTTTCTTTTCTTTTTTTTTGGCCTTTTTTGTTGTTGTTTGTCTTGTTTTTTTTTAATGTTTGATTTTTGGTTTGTCTGTTTTTAGCTGCTTGTCATTTTTTTTCTTATGATTTGGAATCTGCTTTTTAATGTGTGTCATTTGTCTTTCGTCATATTATTTTTTTCTTGTATTTATCATTTGAGTTTTCTTATTCATTTATTTTCTTTCTTACGTTTGTCTTTCTTAGTTCTTCTCTTTTTTTGCTTTTAATTTGCATTTTATTTTCGCGTTTCTTATGTTTTACTTTTGTTTATTTTATATCATTTTTATATTATCTTATGACCGGCTCAGGTCTGTGCTTGTTTTACTTTTTCTTTATTTTCTTATTGTTTATCTCTTTTTGCTTATCTCTGTTTTGTTTTTCTTTCTGATTGGCTATGTATCTGTCCTCTTTTTTTATTACTGCTCATTTATACGTTTGTCTCTCTTCTTTATTCTCTTCCATGCACTTTAATCAGTGTTTCTTAATATCTAAGTCTCTTTCTCCCTCACCTCTTTTCTCTCCTTATCTATCTCTTTCTCTCTCTACCTGCCTGTCTTTCCTTTTCCCTCTCTCTCTCCTATTCCTTCCTTACGTTTCGCTTTCTCCTTCTAAATATGACAAACATTTCTGGACACATCTCTCTTCCTGTCAGTGCAAGGCATCATACACATATTAGCAGCTCCCCCTAACAATAACAACAAAATCAATACAACATCAACAACAACCTCCTTTAACAACAACACTGACAACTTACCCTTAACAATAACTCCCCATAACAACAATAATAATAATAACTTCCATTAACAACAACTTCCTTTAACAACAACAACAACACCAGTACCAACAACAACAACAGCTTCCCCTAATAACAACAACACTACCACCACCACCACTAACAACAACAGCTTCCCACACCAACAACAACAGGAACACCACCACCACCACTAAGAACAACAGCTTCCCACAACAACGACAACAACAGCAGCAGCAAATAATGTTCCAGCCCAAACACCCACGCACATCTAACGAAGCCTAAAATCCTGATACTGTGTGACACGTTTTTCAGTCTAACGGATGTGTAGAAACAGTAAACTCGTGTAAAAGGTTGATAACACAACAGGATACCACTTTCCGTAAACGTAGGTGTTGGTTCTTTCACGATTCTTATGTAACTGATATATTATGTCTGTTTGACCGCAGGGTGAAATAACTGGCTTTCTTATTTGATAACTGTGGATTTAAATTTTTTTCTTTTCATTTTTATTTTTGTTTATTTATTTATTTATTTTTTGTCCACCATATTGACTTTCGTGGTGCTAAATGTAGTTGTATTTTTAGATTTTTGGTTAATTCGTTTTCAGTCAAATGTCACTTTCATTCCAGTTCTTACTCAATGAGTATTTTTTTTAAACTGACAGTTATTATTTGCCTTCACGGATTTCACGTTTTTTTTTTTTTTTATTTTCTAACAACAACAGCTTCCCCTAATAACAACAACACTACCACCACCACCACTAACAACAACAGCTTCCCCTAATAACAACAACACTACCACCACCACCACTAACAACAACAGCTTCCCCTAATAACAACAACACTACCACCACCACCACTAACAACAACAGCTTCCCCTAATAACAACAACACTACCACCACCACCACTAACAACAACAGCTTCCCACAACAACGACAACAACAGCAGCAGCAAATAATGTTCCAGCCCAAACACCCACGCACATCTAACGAAGCCTAAAATCCTGATACTGTGTGACACGTTTTTCAGTCTAACGGATGTGTAGAAACAGTAAACTCGTGTAACAGGTTGATAACACAACAGGATACCACTTTCCGTAAACGTAGGTGTTGGTTCTTTCACGATTCTTATGTAACTGATATATTATGTTTGTTTGACCGCAGGGTGAAATAACTGGCTTTCTTATTTGATAACTGTGGATTTAAATTTTTTTCTTTTCATTTTTATTTTTGTTTATTTATTTATTTATTTATTTATTTATTTATTTATTTATTTATTTATTTATTTATTTATTTATTTATTTATTTATTTATTTATTTATTTATTTATTTATTTATTTATTTATTTATTTATTTATTTATTTATTTATTTATTTATTTATTTATTTATTTATTTATTTATTTATTTATTTATTTATTTATTTATTTATTTATTTATTTATTTATTTATTTATTTATTTATTTATTTATTTATTTATTTATTTATTTATTTATTTATTTATTTATTTATTTATTTATTTATTTATTTATTTATTTATTTATTTATTTATTTATTTATTTATTTATTTATTTATTTATTTATTTATTTATTTATTTATTTATTTATTTATTTATTTATTTATTTATTTATTTATTTATTTATTTATTTATTTATTTATTTATTTATTTATTTATTTATTTATTTATTTATTTATTTATTTATTTATTTATTTATTTATTTATTTATTTATTTATTTATTTATTTATTTATTTATTTATTTATTTATTTTTTGTCCACCATATTGACTTTGGTGGTGCTAAATGTAATTGTATTTTTAGATTTTTGGTTAATTCGTTTTCAGTCAAATGTCACTTTCATTCCAGTTCTTACTCAATGAGTATTTTTTTTTAAACTGACAGTTATTATTTGCCTTCACGGATTTCACGTTTTTTTTTTTTTTTTTTTTTTTTTATTTTTTTTTGTGTGTTTTGTTTATCTTGTGATTTTTTTCTTTTCATTTGTTGGATATTTTTTTTGTTGACTCACTGGATTGGTGTAAGATTATTGTGGTATCAACTGTTTATGATTTTTATTAGTGTGTATGTTCTTTTGATTAAGTTGTCTTATTATTTGTTTGTCAAGCTACAATCTGTTTTGTGAGCTTCCTTCTCATCTACATTATTACCATTATTGTTATTATTTTACCATGCCATAATTATCATCACGGTTATCATTATTTTTATCAGTATGACTGTGATTGTCATTATTATTACAATACATATTATTGTTACCTCTATTATCACTATTGTTTCATATGATTCTTACCTTAATTATTATATATCTGGACTCTTCCATGTTTTTCTACTTTTTTTTTTTTACCTAGAGTTAATTTTACCTATGATTAAATCACAGGTAACCTTCTAAACGACCTACAATTAAATCAGGTGAAACTCCGAATAAAGACAGTGTGACGTCACGCCCTATTATGACGTCACACAGGTGGGTAGCGCGGGTTGACGCTAAGGATGTCAACACAGTGCGAAATTTATACCAAAAAAATCAGTGACGTACTAGATAAAAGATATCCCAAGCTTCGAATAGGTATTAAATATCTATTATATAAATATGTATGTCCAGATTAGTAAATGGAATTAGCATGAGAAAAGATAGACAGTAAAGCGCGGGAGAAGTACATGTGTAACCAAAGTCAAGGTTAGTACCGCTATCTTGTATGTCAACTCGACCGGTCAGCAGTCAGGCTCACGCACTCACACGAGGAGGACGTGTTAACTCTTGGTCCTTCAAGAAACTTCACAGCTTCGAAGACAGTCCGGTATCGACAGAGAAGGATTTTATTTTATAAAATTCTAAAGTGTTTCGACCCCCGCGGAAAATCCCATTTTTTGAGACACAAGGTAGTAGTTACGAATATTTTTGAATTGGTTTTGTTGATTTCTATGTGTATATATGTTTTATTCCGTGTTTATTTTTTTGTTGATGATTTCTATTTTTACTATTATTTTTACTGCAATTACAAAATAACTCATACTCTAGACACAATTTTGCTTCAAATCTATATAACGAAAACAAACCGAAATCGATTTTAACCCGAGTTACCAAATCACTAAATCAGTACCTGAATATATAAAGTATATATTCTTTTATAAGCAGAATCGATATAATTGAGAAGAAAGCTGACCTAAGCGAGTTAACAATTTCCAAGAGATAAATGCCCGCCGAAAAAGGCTGTAATGATTATACATTGCATATGATGAAGTGTGCTAAATCTGAGGATCTGGTCTGTCAACTCTGCTGTTTTCTTGTGTTTTTTATTCTCTTTCGTCACCTTTTTATCATGTTTTTATACTTATTATTATAACCATTTTCATTATTGATATCTTACTGTCATTTTCATTCAGTGATGATGATTATCATCATCATCATCATCATCATCATCAACCATCTTCATTATCATTATCACCATCGTCATTATTACTATTATCACTGTTATTACTATTATTATCATCGTTATAATGAAGTTGATAATGATGTACACTATTACTATGGCTATTATCATTACTGTTGCTATTATTATTACTATTGCTATTATTAATATTATTATTATCATTATTGCTATTATTATCATCATTACTATTATTATCTGCCTCCGCCTTATTTTAATTATCACATTAATATTATAAGTATCGCATTTATTATTACTATTATTATTATTTTCATTATAATGATAATGATCATCATCATCATCATCATCATCATCATCATCATCATAATAATGATAATAATAATAATAATAATCATTATTATTATTACTACTACTACTATTCCTCTTCTTCTTCTTCTTCTTCTTCTTATTATTATTATTATTATTATTATTATTATTATTATCATTATCACCTTTATCATTATTGTTATTATGATTATCGTTATGATTATTATTATCACTAATATTATTTTCATTATCATTATCATCAGTGGCATTACTACCTTCAGTAATATTATCAAAATGATAATGAAAATTGTAATAACAATGATCATGCTAATAGTTACTATATCTTTATAATAATTATTTCCATAGGGCTACAGATAGTGGCAATAATGACAATGATAATGTTGATAATAATAATAATGGTGATGATGAAAATAATAATAGTAATAATAATAATAATAATAATAATAATAATAATAATAATAATGATGATAATAATTATAATAATAATAATGATGATAATAATGATGTTAATAATGATAATAATGATACTAATGATAATGCTATTGAAAATGATAATAATAATAGTAATAAAGATAATAATAAGTATGATAATAATGATAATCTTAATAACAAAAATGATAATGATAAAAATAATAATAAAAATAACAATAATAATAATGATAATAATAACAACAAGAAGAAGAACAACATTAACAATATTAATAATAAAGATAACAATGATAATAATGATGATAATAATGATAACAATAGTCCTAATAATCATAATAATGCTATTAGTAATAACTAACAGTGATAATAGTGATGACAATGATAATGATAATAACAATGGTAATAATAATGATAGCAATGATAATAATAATAATAGTAATAATAATAATAATGATAATAATAATAACAATGATGATAATAATAATAATAATAACATATTTCCTCTTGCAAGGCCATGAAATCAATAATTTTTATGATACTATTTTTTATCCTTTTACTAACTAGATATTTCGCGAATCATTAATTATCATTGTCATCACAAAATTTACTTCCATTATATCGATGTACAAGACTAAAGCAGCTAGAAAAGAAATAGAGAAAGACTTAAAGGAAGAAAGAAGAAGAAGAAAAAGAAAACAGAAAGAAAAATCGGAAGGCGTCATATCAGCATTACTCAGGCGGACATCTGGGGGAGGTCAGGCCTTGCAAGAGAGAGAGAGAGGGAGTGGGAGTGGGAGAGAGAGAGAGAGAAGGAGAAGGAGAAGGAGAAGGAGAGGGAGAGGGAGAGGAAGAGGGAGAGGGAGAGGGAGAGGGAGAGGGAGAGGAGAGAGAGAGAGAGAGAGAGAGAGAGAGAGAGAGAGAGAGAGAGAGAGAGAGAGAGAGAGAGAGAGAGATGGAGAGGGAGAAAGAGAAAGAGAGGGAGAGGAGAAGGAGAAGGAGAGGGAGAGGGAGAGAGAGAGAGAGAGAGAGAGAGAGAGAGAGAGAGAGAGAGAGAGAGAGAGAGAGAGAGAGAGAGAAAGAGAGAGAGAAGAGAGAGAGAATGGAGAGGGAGAGGAGAGAGAGAAGAGAAGAGAAAGAGGAGAGAGAGAGAGAGAGAGAGAGAGAGAGAGAGAGAGAGAGAGAGAGAGAGAGAGAGAGATAGATAGATAGATAGATAGATAGATAGATAGATAGAGAGAGAGAGATAGAGATAGAGATAGATAGATAGATAGAGAGAGTAAGAAAGCGAGAGAGTGAGACAGAGTTCAGGCACCGACTGATTCCGGTAATAAGCGGGTATGTAGCGGCATACACCCATCCTCCAACATTCGCCTCAGGGAAATCATAAGCACACTGGCGACCACACACAAGTCCCAGATAAACAAGTACACAAATAAATACTGTTATATTACCGTAAATCACAAACCATAGCTCATATCCTTTCGTCTACCAAATTATTTCCTTATCAATATTAATAGAGTGTCTACATCTGTATATCTATTTCTCCAGGTAGTATTGACATATCTATTATGATTTCCGTCGGCTGATAATCCAGGTAATTTTTTTTTTTCGTAACCTGTCTGGCTGTCTTTATTTTTTATTCTCTCCCTCCGGTCTGACCGCGTGATTTACCGATATGATAAATAAGAAAATCAGTCTCATGAAATATCGATGTCACCGCCTCGTGGTAAACAGTCCATCACTTTATCCCGCGTTCGCAGCGCACTTCGTATTTTCTCCGCCCTTAATAAGTCCTCCGTGCAAATAAATTTCTGATTATCCATATGAGTGGATGTTCCTAGCTACTGGACTGGTCTCTTGACGCGCCATCCATTATTCTCGCTCTTGTTGGTTTGCTTCGCCGGCCGTTGGGGCGGAGGCATCGTGAATATAAAGCGGAATTAGGAATTTGGGGACGGATCAGGGGGGTTTTGTTTTTGTTTTATATCGGTATCTGAATTGTTTTGGTATTCTGTTTTTATTCAGTATATTATTATCATTAAAGAGTACCGTGTGATAAAGAAAGAAAAACAAGCATAATATAATTTTCTATTTGGAAGTGAGATAAAAATACACTTAAAGTTGCTTAGAATAACTACTGGTCGACGAACCTCTTGAGAAAAACAAACAAACCCTAGAAAAATAAAAGAAAACGAATATAAAGGAGAGAGAGAAAAAAAAATGCAAACCCTTCAAAAGAAAACAAACTCCGTCCTTATATACCACATCCCTCGTCGACCGCGATGACAAGGAAGAAAAAACAAGGGCCAAGAGACTGGTCATGTTGCCTCTCCTCCTTGCTGACCTTTTTTCTTAGTTTGTGTTATCATTGCATCGTCATTCCTCGAATAACGAACAGGTGCTAATAGTGATATTTCTTCTCTGATTGCGTTCGTTTGTCCTGTATGATGTGGCGTTTTCTTTTTTTTTGTGATATTTGTTATGATAATGATGGCGGTGATAAATGGTGACCATGGCAGAATCAGATATCATGCAGGTAAAAGCAATAGTGATAATATTAATATCAATAATAACAAATATTACAAAAGGTAATAGTAAGGATGATGGTTATGGCAATAATGAAAACGATAGCAAGGACAGAAATAACAGTAGCTGTAACAATAGGAAAAACAACAACAGTGGGGTAATATTAAGAAGGATAAAATAATAGCAATGATAAACCAGTAATAATGGCAGGGACTACATTCATTATATATATAGTATATATATATATATATAGTATATATATATATATATACATATATATATATATATAGTATATATATATATATACATATATATATGTATATATATATATATCTATATATATATATATAGTATATATATATATATATATGTATATATATATATATAGATATATATATATATAGTATATATATATATATATACATATATATATGTATATATATATATATAGTATATATATATATATATCTATATATATATATATATATACATATATATATATATATAGTATATATATATATATAGTATATATATATATATACATATATATATATATAGTATATATATATATATAGTATATATATATATATAGTATATATATATATATAGTATATATATATATATATAGATATATATATATATAGTATATATATATATATTATATATATATATATAGATATATATATATATACATATATATATATATACATATATATATATATAGATGATAAAACGAACGAACACCATAGCAACAAATACGTCACACGGAAAGATAATCCATTATATATAATATGAATATATATATATGTGTGTGTGTGTGTGTGTGTGTGTGTGTGTGTGTGTGTGTGTGAATATGTATGTATGTATGTATGTATGTATATGTGTATGTGTGTATGTATATACGTATATATATTAATATATATATATGTATATATTACTTTATATATGTGTATTTATATATATATATATATATATATATATATATATATATATATATATATATATAAACGTATATATGTATATTTGTACATATATATGTACACATATTTGTATACATACACATATATAGGTATATATATGTATATTTACATATAAATATACACATACATAAATCCATATACTTAGACAGTATATATATATATATATATATATATATATATATATATATATATATATATATATATATATACATATATATATGTATATATA